CTGCCCAATTCTTATTTGCACGGTTAATTTCTCCGTTTGACAAAGCTTTCTCAGAGTCAAATCCATTCCTTTCGTTATCTACAATATGTTCCGTTCGAATTGTTTGGCTTTTTTCATTCTTTCGTTTCACTACGATATTCAATATTTTTCGATTTTCTCTGATGAACTTCGCGATGAAAGTTAGTGACTCATCAATAAACAATAAACCTTTGTCTTCTGTTTAGAAGTGGTTTTGATCTTGAGAATTAAATAAAATCGATCATTCCAAAGGTTTTGAAAATATACGCGTACATGCATATACTGTACACTTGTGGTTTTTCTTTGTTTGTATGTTTGTTATTAAGTGCACTGACAAGGTAACACAAGGTTCATTATATACTTTAATTCAAGACCAATGAAGATTGGTGGATCAATTCTTTTTACATTAACCTTGTTTATAATAAAAGAGACAAGAGACATGTCTAAACATGTTATAGCAATAATCACAAGAAATTTCTTGAGCCAATAATTTTGGTTAATTTTATTATCTCTTTACGGCGTGATACAATCGGTTGTATCACCAACAATGGAAGCAACAATCCATAGCGGTCAACTTTCTTCCGAACTATACTTCGAAGATGATCTTTAAGGCCATAATTCTTGTCGGTGGGCCTTCTCGTGGCACCCGTTTTCGTCCGCTTTCACTAGACTCGCCAAAACCTCTGTTTCCAGTTGCTGGACATCCCATCATCTGGCATCATTTGGAAGCCGTCTCCAAGGTTGAAGAACTAAAAGAAGTGTTGCTAATTGGTTTCTTCGAAAATTCGGTTTTTGATAGATTCGTCGAAGATGCGTCCCGCGATTTCCCTAACATTAGCATTCGGTAAGACGATTTGATTTAGGCTTTGCATTTACTGGAAGGTTAGTCAGACATAATCTTGAAATTATATTTAGTTATCTTCGGGAGTATCAATCACTGGGAACCGCCGGAGGTCTCTATCATTTTCGGGACGAAATTTTGAGAGGCGACCCCGAACAAATTTATGTTCTCAATGCAGACGTGGCTAGCAGTTTTCCGTTGAACGAGATGATGAAATTTCACAATACGCATCGTGGTTTATGTACGATATTAGGAACAAAGGTGAAACAATATTGAAATTCATAAATCTACCAATGTCTTTCTTTTGGTTTCGATCAACACATTCATGGATGGCTTAACACCATAGGTCAATCGCGAGATAGCTCATAAATTTGGTTGTCTTGTGGCAAAACCGGATAGTCGGGAGGTTTTACATTATGTAGAAAAACCCGAAAGTTTTATCTCAGATTTAATCAGCTGCGGTATTTATTTATTTGATTGTGCGATCTTTAATGAAATGAAAAAGGCGATGCAAAATAAGGCTCAACGAGTCGAGTATCCTTGTGAATGTAGATTGAAATAGATAAACCATTTAGTCGGTGTCCCTTAACTTTGTTTTAAAAAATTCAGTCAGGATCAATTTCATGATGACAACAAACTTCGATTGGAACAAGATCTACTCGGTATGTTAGTCGAATCCAGGAAACTATATGTATACGAGACAACCGATTTTTGGAGGCAAATCAAGACGGCAGCGTAAGATTCTCATTATGAATCCATTCTTGTGTTTACATTATTCAAGTGTGATGCACCACTTGCAATTCACCATACAACCAGTTCGGCCGTTCCAGCCAATGCGTTTTACCTTGAGCAATATCGAAAAAACAATCCCAGTCGTTTATTGAAAAATGAACCCAATGGCCCTGAGATAGTTGGATGTGTTTATAAACATCCTACAGCAACCATTGATCCTAGTGCCAAGGTTTGAGCAAATCCCTACCATTCCAGTATTCCCTTTATACCATCCGATCTTTTCTCTCATCACTTATACATTAGGTTGGACCAAACGTGACTATTGGACCTCGTGTAGTTATTGGAAAAGGTGTTCGTGTTAACGATTCGATTATCTTGGACAATGCAGAAATTAAGAATAATAGCTGCATCTTACACAGTATCATTGGATGGGATTCAAAGATTGGATGCTGGGCACGCGTCGAAGGTACGCCGACGTCGAGTCATGTAACATCTATTACGGAAAATGGTGTTAAAGTCGAGTCAGTTACGATTCTTGGTAAGAAAGCTAGTTCATCTTTTACCTTTAGTCGGAATCAACTTTCTTTCTTTTTTTACCATCAATTAACATGAGTCTTAATTTAGCTAAAGAAGTTACGGTCACTGACGAAATTATCATTCGTGACTGCATCGTGTTGCCACACAAACAATTGAAAACAAGTTGTCATAACGAAATTTTGATGTGATAGGATTTACCAAAGAAGGACATTTTATCTAATATTTATTTTTAAGACATAAATTAATTAAGAATGTTAGGCTTGATCGATTTTAAAGTCTAGAATTTAAAGATATAGACGAGTAAATCGAAAGATTCATCTTTTTTTTCGTCCTTGGATGAGCGTGCCAGTAAAAATGATAGGGATCAAAATTGATATACATAATAGAGGATATAATGGCCATACGTTGCACCAATAAAAATCTACTTAAGTATTAATAGCAGGTTGAAACACGTTCTACGAGAATGACATTGATACATTTTTTTGGTAAACCTGCGATCAGGTCAAAGAGTTATTCCACCCTCGCTTCAGGTCCTACGCTTCAACAGGTGTCTACTACTATGCATCCTAAACGAAGGAAGAGGCCTATTATGATCATCTTGCACTTGATTATTCTGATAACTTATGCATATATATATGATTTTTTTTGATGTAAAAAAAATCTTTTTTTTTTTTTTTTGCTACAGTTCATCCTCAAGTCTCAAGTCATAAGGCTTTATAAAGAAATTATGAAAACTACAAGATGCAAGTATTTGATGCACATAAATTCCATCTATGTTGATGGTTATTATTATTTTAATTTGTAAATGGTTTTGAATATAGTAATGCATAACAAAAATGACAGAAAGGAATTAAGAAAATGGATCAGGGAAGAATTTGAAATGCATAAATTAGAAACGAGTACTGTAAGTGAATCACATTTATATTTTGCACTTACAATTTATGAAAAGTTACTTTCTCAAGTCGTTGTGTGCAAACGATCAGAAAAACATCGAAGAGTTAATCGCAAGAGGCAGAAGGGAGTTCAAAAAATTACGCGGAAGCATAGTGTTAAGTTCCTCGCAATAAGACGATTCGTAGATTTTACGTTATATTTAAATTTGGGCTAACATTACACAATAAAGTCTAGGCTGGTCATTTATTGTGCGCAAATTTTTTTTTTTTTTTAGTGCATCGAATGAAGTATATAAATAGATAGCATAGACGACGTCGCTTTACAATTATGTGAGAAAATAATATTATCAATAAAGGCAGTGGCTATGGTTGAGATTAGTCATTTCCCACATGATGACAAACGTACTCACCTTCCACTTTTTAAATGTAATCCTTGTTAACTGATAACCGGCATAGTTTCCATCTTTATTCGGATCGTTTAAGCCCACTAATCATGTATAAGAAATTTAACAAAGGTGTGACTATAGTGACCCGTCGACAGATCAATCAATTCTACCTACCAAATCTCGTAAATATCGCCTTTCTTCCATCCACCTTATCAATAATTTCAGCGCATCGGATCGTTCAATTTTACCGTGTTCAACGAGAATGTCGGCCAATGACTCGTTGACATCTTTAGCCATACCTTTGGCATCTCTAAAGAGACATGTTTTGTGTGACAAAAAATATCAAATCTTGAATTGTCAAGAGGATGCACTTACCCGCATACAAAAATCATTGCTTCATTTTGACTCATCAACTTGAAAATCTCACTTCCACGGTTCCTTAAAAGATCTTGAACGTATTTTGGTTTCCCGTTTAAGCCGGCGCCAGGAGCTCGACTTTCTACAACTAATAATTCTTTTAAGATCCCTTGTTTCAAAAATCCCTCAAGCTCTTGACGATATAAAAAATCCTTTTCTTTCTTCCTGCATCCATAAAACAACCACATCTCTCCGAATTGTTCGCTGTATTCTGAAAGATTCTTCATCTGTAACTCTCGATGATTCAGAAATCCGACGAAAGGGGCAACTCCTGTACCAGGACCGATCATAATCAAGGGCTTTGAGATGTCGGGTGGAATGGTAAAACTCCGAGTATTAATTTCCATGAAAATAGGAATGTCTATCATTAAAGGTGCAAGAGATCGACCTTCTTCTGTAATGTTACCACTCAGCTTGTTTAGCCATGAAGTGCACACCCCTAGCCTGTGAACATTATAAGGGTCCGGTGTATGGTAATCGACGACGTTAAATGCAAAATGGAGTGCATCACTATTTAAAAGAGGCGAATTGACAATCGAATAATATCGCGGTTTATGCGGTGGAAGCGCGTCAAGAAGTCGTTCTATCGGAGGTTTGCACGAAGGGAAGGTTACCAATAAATCGAGAATTGTGGGAATCTGTTCGCGTAATCGGTTAAATTGCTGAATGCCTGAAGATCCAATAAATTTTCGATCAAAGCTCGAATATCATGTTAAATCGACTCAACGGTTGATGTATGTACCTTGTTTGCTGCACAAAAAAAGCAATTTCTTCCTTTCCAGTGAGTTGGATGCATATTCGGCCATCATCCTTAGTAATGCTTTACGTGGCAAGGAAGTCAAGTCAACAGCATAACGCAATAGCTCGATTATCGATGTAGATTTGGCTTGTTTCAAATGTGTTGGAAGTTCTATGCCGAAATAAAAGATGTAAACAAAAAAAAAACTTATGTTTTCTAAATCAATTTCAGCATGCATCGCCGTATATACCGGTTCCTTCAACGGGTTCAACAGAAATTTCTTGTTTGGCCTCATTCTCATCGATTCCCAGGGCTGTCAACACATCTCTAACTAGTATATCATCGTTGGGCGCTAGTATCCCAAAGGCATCTCCGGGAGAGAACTGAATTTTTTTACCATATTCCTTTACATCCAACTCCATATGAAGTGTTTTTTTAACGGAGCCCGGATGAGTTAGACAACGCACGAAACTCAATCTTGAGTTAATGATTGGGGTAGGTGTAACTATAAACGAAGGCAGAGAGGACCCCGAAACAAAATTTTCTTTTCTAGATTTAACGATCTTGCAACAAGAGACTGGGATACGTGGTAAGGCTGTAAGCTGAGAAGTGTCATCAAATTCTGAGAAATCCAGCACAACTTTAACACCACTCAGATTCCCTGACAGCTGACCATTTGACTTTCCATTAGTAGTCTGAATGTCAGGTGATTCCTGCACAGTTTTGGTAATGCTATTGACCGAAAGCGTTTTGACCGAATCAATGATTTCCTCTGCATCGATATTATGTCCTTGCTTTTGAACACAGACGTTGGCTAGAGTAGCCCATAGATTTTCAATCCAAGGATCCACAACCGTCTCGAGACTATAAAATTATGAAGCGTCAAATTGAATAATCACGACCGGAGACCTAAATGAACCGGTGCAATCGAAGCAATGGGATATATTTCCCTACCCTAACGCGTCGTCTGCCAAGCCTATATTGTAAAAAGGAGAAGCTCCCAATTCTAACAGTTTTTTTTTCTAGCCGTTTAGCCGTGTTATTAAAATTCGAGTAGTTTGTGTCCCCGAGACCTGCGTTTGATGAATGTTAAACATGAACATCGAGATCTTAATCGCGCACAAACATACCAAGTATCGTGAACTTTGCATGGCTCAAGAAAGTTTTTGATTTGACCTTTCTCAAATATCTAAAAAATTTTGTAGCATTATCCGGCGGATCGCCGTCTCCTGTGCTGGAGGTGACGAAAATCAAAATTTTTTCCTTTGAAAGTTCCACCTGACATATACAAAAGTTAGTCATCCCGAGCATGCTAGTTTCTATTGGAAAGCTGCGATCGAGTTGCTCTGGTACACACTTTGTCATGCTCGTCGAAGACGAGGTATTCGCTAGAAAACCCGCGTTTTAATGCTTCCTGGTGAATGTTCTTTGCTATCCATTCGGCATTTCCAGTTTGCGACGCGTAGAAAACCACTAGGTTCTCGCTTTTCTCGGTAGTCATCAAAAAAAAAAATTATATCCAAGATGAAAAATCTACCAATTGGAAAATTTATAAGTCAATTGAATAAGTTACCTAATATAGGGTGAATTTCATTATCGGATTAGATTGGGTAATTGATTTTTCAACACACCTATTTTAATCATGTCGTCGAATGATTCAATCAGTTTCTTTGACGAACTTAAGCCTTTCTTGGAAAATGTGATTACGAAACCGGAGAGTTTCATAACTACAGATCAAAGTCTTTCCCTGGAGGCTCTGAAAATTACTAAAAAGTTATATGATTTAGGTAAAATACAGTAAGCGATCGAGGTGTACCATTCCATTTCTTATCTGCTCACCTTTGAGAAATAAATCTTAGGTAAAAATGAAGAACAGAAAGAACCTTTGCAATGGGAAGACATAACACATTACAATGCAGTTGAAGAATTGAAAATTGAAAAATTGAACAACGAGCAAATTTGGGATGAACTTTGCATGCAAAATGAACCGTTCTTAGAATACGTCAAAGAGCAACTGGATGATCTAGACGAACTAATTGGTGGAAGCGAACAGCACGAAGACGATGAAGAAAATAATCGAGGCAGTGATTCAAACCTTAGCGAAGCCGCTGAAATTGATGACAATGTTTCCGAGGTCAGCAGCGAGGAAATTGAACCTTTAGATGAGGAAGGTGAAAAAGACGACGATAAACATGTATGATTTTGTTTTGAAATATAATTTATTGCATGAGGATTTTTGCAAACCAGTTGAACAATGGTCCTTACAAATAATTGCAGATGGATGATGAATTGACCGAAGGTGATAATGATACCGAAGAAGAAATCACGAATTTTCACCCTGAACTTGATGACGAATTTTTTAACTTGGCTGAATTCAATAAAACCACCGAGAACGAACGATCTTTTGAAAGAATCCCACGTGCTGACGTGGACGATGATGATGATGATGATGAGATAGATTATAATGCAGGTAGCTAAATGTGGTTTTCTGAAATTTTCTTTGTTGTGTAAGAAACCTGAGATTCTTAATCGAATAGATCCTGATGAATTGGCTGAGGAGGATGAGATAGATGGTAATTAATTAGTGAGTTTCTTTTTAAAATTATTATTCATTGTTACTCACTCGGGTAGATCAAACTTCTAGGCGCAATAATGTATAAGCAGTTCTTTGACCCTCCACCAAAGAAGAAGAATCGTAAATCCAATAGAAAAGATAACATTTTACATGACGAATCGATTGGGACAAAGGTTAATTTCGATTCTGAAAAAAATCGTGAGGGAGAGCGTTTGACACATATCGTACAAGATCTGTTTGCTCAGGATGAAAGCGATGACGAAGGTACACAGCATACTGATTCATTGTGTAAATCTAATATACAGCAATGTTGATAAGTGATCTTAACATATTACGAAGATGGGGAAAACAAAAAATCTGCATTCGAAAAGAAACAAGAGAAGATAAAAAAACAAATCGAAAGGTTGGAGATGGAAAATGTGGCAGAAAAGGATTGGACACTTATTGGAGAGGTAAAATGTCTTCGAAATGAGTGAGGTTGGTGGTAATCAGATTTTTCATTATATAAATTGTGAATTTTCCCCAAAGGCGTCAAGTAAAGATAGACCTCTGAATAGTCTGTTGGAAGAGGATCTGGAATTTGATCATATTGCCAAGGTAATTTTGTTTGTTAAAAAGAAATTGACACGCTTTTAAGAATCTTATTAATTTGCCATTTTTGTGACTAGCCCGTTCCCGTTATAACCGAAGAGGTTACAGAAAAACTTGAAGACATGATAAAAAGGAGAATTTTGGATGTAACTAATCAAACATCATATTGAGTTATCGTCTAATTACTATTCACATATATTTCAAATAATTTACACGGAAAACGATATTCCCAGGAAACATTTGACGACGTGGAACGCAAACGTGACCCCAATTTTAGGCCTTTCCTACCTTCAAAACTGGTTGAAGTATCGACCGAAAAGTCAAACAAGTCACTGGCTGAAATTTATGAAGAAGATTACTTTAAACAAACCTCTAAAGACCTGCCTAATGAAAAAGACGACGCACTAAGTAAAGAACATCAAGAGATTGAAAAAGGTTTCAAAGAATTGTGTTATAAATTGGATGCTTTGAGCAACTTTCATTATACACCGAAGCCGGTATGTGATTGTGATTCAATAAACGTTGATCTTTTTGACATTTTCAAATAACCTTTTGTTCATTCACCTTCAATGCGGCCGAAAATAACTCACAATAGCCTAAGCCTGAAATTACCGTTATTACCGATGTACCAGCCATCGCTATGGAAGATGTAATACCCGTCAGCGTTAGCGATGCAACACTGTTAGCGCCCGAAGAAGTATATGATAAGAAAAAACGGGAGGTCAAGGTACCAAAAATTGGAACATTTTCATTCCTATGGTGTGGATATATAACTTATGCTAATTATGTTTTTTAGGGTGAAACCGAAATGGATTCCAGTGAGAAGAAACGAGTACGTGCAGAAAAAAAGCGAATAAAAAAGAAAGAGAAGGCCTTGAAGGAACGCGAGAAGAAAGTAATCGAGAGGTACATGCACCCACTGATTATCCGTTACACATCTGCATTGTTTTTAACCGTATTACCATTTGTCAGGATGAATCCTGGGATGGGGAACAAGTATGCCAAAAAGAAAATCCTAGACACTTTGATCGGACAAAAGGTATTCGTAAATCCTGCTTTATATCAAAGATAAAGAGAATTTGTTTTTTGCTCATATTGTTTGACGTTTACGTCTTTAGAACGTGACGATTATCGACAAGGACGGCACGCAGAAGTCCACCGTAAAGAAAGGCCGAGAAATCGATATACGTTCTACGAATCTAAAATTGTAAATATCCGCTTTGACATAAATTATTATGCGATTCGCATACACATTTTTGCATTTCTCGAAGATCATGGTTTCACAAACGAGACAACGAGATATGAGCGCAAGTATTATTTATAAAATCAATCTATTACTAATCACCTAAAATTCATACGATAATAGATTTTGAGATAATATTTACAGTATATAATATATCATCTTTAATTTAACATGTAATCTTAAGGAAATGCAAAATTTAAAAAAAATAAAAGTTTAAACAAATTTTCATAAAGTGACTAATAACATATGCATGCTTTTTGTTTTTTCAAACTATACCTATAATTAACTATAACATTAAATTTTTACAAGATATAATATTAGATATATATTGTATACATATATATTTTGAACAGGCATTATTTAATATATTTGAAAATATAAATTAAATTTGATGCAACTCCCAAAATCCGATTTCAAGTTTCGTTAATTTTAAAGATTATAAAAGATTAAGATATTTTAAAAAATGTTTTTTATGATAAATACTTATATGAATTTTTGTTTCAAAACAACTTTTATTGATTACTCGAGAGAAAAAAATCTGTAAATTTGCTTGGAACCGACTGGAACCTTTTTGAACGGTTCCCATTCCTACCTATAATTTTATAATTTTATTTAAATAAAATATCCATTTTTTTATAGTATTATTTTTTAAAAAAAAAAATTCGAAACCTACAAATCCAATGATGAGAATAATAGCTTTTTTTTAAATAGCTAATTGTTTACTTTTTTTAAATGTTGATATAAATAAATGCTTTAATTGTGTAAATATTTAAATTCCCTTTGATGCTGAATATGGGGGTTCAAACATTTCAAGCCCCATTACTGTTGTCCTGGATCAGTTCAAAGTTGTAATGTAAAATTCAGCTTTCAAAGGTAACGATTTCATTTAAAATTATGAATTTATTCGTCGATAACTTTTTGAAAGATTTTTTGAACCCACATACGTAAATATAATTTTTTCTTTCTCAAAAAACAAAAACGTAAACTCGTCCGCCCAGTGACATGCGCATATACGGTAAGTATACAGGATTTCACATATTTGTTGTTTTATTTATTTGTTTGTTTAAAACTAATTGTTGACAAGAATGCGTCCTTTAATATACTGGCCTTTGTGTGCTATTTTTGTAAGAAAAAGGACTTACGTAATTAGGAAATTGTGCTCAGTTTCATAAATCGTGCCAATTACATTCTTTTATTTTTTATTTTGAATCGTTTTATCAAAGATTCTTTGTACAAAATGCGTAAATGTGTATGCATTAAAATCTGTGGTACCATAAATGGAAATGGTTTTTGTGTAGAAAGAGATCTATATAGACATTTTTGGTGAAAATTTCTAAAACTTCAGAATCGGGAAAGGGGACGAATGAAAATTTACAAACATGATCATACTACCATTTTACTTTTCAAACTATTTTGTTTCATCTGCAATCTTGCTTCGCCTTTAACAGCTGCCACTATATACATCAAGGTAGCGATAAATAAATAGAGGGCGGGATTGACGTTTTGATAATTTACAATTGAAAAAGTGCTTATTAACATGTATAAACTAATTCGGGGGGCGTAGGAAGTTGAAACGAATGTGTCTTTAAAGGGAAAAACAGGCGTTTCGATGGCCAAAATTATTAAACCAAGAGGACTATTGTGAAAAAAATCGCTTTAGTAATGAGTGAAAGAAAGTGATCCGTCATTGAATATGATAAATACTTACATGCAAACTATCGATACTATATTCACTGGATTGATGTCTGCATTGAATATCCTGTGAGCAAAGAATTAATAAGTGAGTAAAGAATTAGTCTTTATGCAATTGCAACGCGAATTCACTCAACTTACGAAGTCACATCTTCAAACGTCGCAATACGGTAAAATATGCCAAATATTCCTCCTATCGTTTCAACTAAAAGAGCGTAAAATTTAACCGTCAGATCGGAGAAATTACGCGAGAAAATACATTGCGAAATTGATCGAGATTACTCACAAACACCAGCAACGAGAGCGATTAACTTTGCCCATTGACTCCAGATTAGTTTACCCATTTTTTATGAACTTTGAGATATTTTAAACGTCTATATAGATTGTTTCGGTATATATGAATGTTTTTTGAGCTTTCTTTTTAGTTGGATGTAGTCCTGTAACCAGACAGAAACTAACAGAACGAAGGTCGATGTGAGGAGATGAAAAAAAGAAAGGTAAAGAACGGAAACGATTCGGTGGTTTAATTTATATTAAAAGTTTCCTATGGACCGAAACATTGTGCGACACAGGAGTGAAATAAGGGGATGTCTGAAGGATCGTCGTCAAATTGAACACAAATCGAAGATCTGATGCCCCAGTAGTACTTTAAAAAGAATGAAAAGGACAAAAATGTAAATTATTTTCACGAATTACTACCCGGGACATATTAAAATGCCTTATAAGACCACTTCCTAATATGATATTTTCTTAAATCAGTATGTTCATTGGCGTGCCTGATTAATTAGTACAAACTTATTATTTCTCAATGCGCATTTTGTATCGGTATTTGTGCATAATTTCGAAAAAAAAAAATTAAGGAATTTTTTTAGTGCTCGATATCAAAATCTCTTGGAATTAAACCATAGTTTAATTGTGAAACAGAGATAACCAAATATTGAATAACCTGAAATAACGAAAGGAGTTCGTTGTCTAATAATTTGGCTTATTTAATTATGGAAAAATGTGGAGTTAAAAATAAACCTCTCCATACATGCCAGATCATTGCGCCGAGACTGATGATGCTATGAAAGTACTTTGGATATTATACCAATTTTTGACATATTAATTGGTTTTCGAAAGTTACGAAAGAAAACACGCCACAAAATCTTTGATATATATTTTTCAATTAAAACTTGACGATAGATATCATCTGTTCGAAAACTTTTAATCGAGAAATAATAATACAATATACAATATACAGTATAAGTAAATTTACCAGGATATTACTTACAACTTATGATAACCATTTCGTTATAGTAAATATAGAGAGTATTGCGAAAAGAATGGAAAAAATATTTTTTTACAATTAAATTTTATAACTATTTAATAAGCGAAAAGTTTTTTTTTGAGTAGACATTTGCCTTGTTCAACTTTATTAAATAATAACTTGAGTGTCAATAGTATATGTATGCAGACTATTACTAAAGAATTCTCTATTTATAAAGTAATGTCACTAAGCAAATGGCTTGTTGCCTGTCCTGTTGTAAAACAGAAACCCAAGTATTTCCTAATCGAAACTTATTGTAAATATATTTTCTAATCCTGAAAAATTATTGCAAAATAATTCCATATATTTGTTAATAATGTGTGGATATCTGTATTTGATTTCCCGTTCTATAACTTTATCAAAGTCCAAATTAATTGTTTGTATCATATTCTTTTTTTGTTGTTTAATTACATGTTATGATCTTTTTTATTCTTGGATTGCTTTGCATTTCAACTTTCATATTGCTTTTTTATAATTGAAAATATATTTATTTACTTGATTTTTTTTATGTTTTTTAATTGTACTTATTAAAATTTATGTGTCTTATAAAATCATTTAAAGAATTGATTATTTCTTTATAGTAAAGTCTATATACTGTATTTTCTTTAATAACATTCTTTTCTTGTTTTTTTCTTATTTTAAAATAAATCACTTGTATTTTCATAAATAAATACAAAACAATTTATCTACAAAGTTAAAAATAAAATTATTTTGTTTAAAAAATATATATTTAAAAAAACTTTATTTTATATATTTGTAAAATAGTTTTATTAATGAAATAAATAAATTTATATCAAATATAAACTTTTTTTAAAACCTTCTTTCTTGTTTCAAAAAGTTTAACATAATTAAAATCAATTTAATTTTATTTTAATTGAAAGATTTAAACTTTTTTACAAGTAGCAGATCTCAAAATCTTTAAATTTTTAAATATCTTTTTCTATAATTAATTTTTTTTTTTAAAGTTAAACAGCATTAAATACAAATTTTATTGATATACTGTATATCATTTGTCTATTATATCAAACATTTATTTATAATATATGATTACAATTAAATACTAGCCTATCAACTTTATTTATCTAATATTCAGAAATTCATTACTTGATAACTTTTTTTCATAATATCAGAATGCTATAAAAATATAAATTCTACTATTAATTTTAAACTACCTAACCTATAGAGCTTAGTTATAGTCTTATGTATATATTATTAATTACCTAAGTATAAGTTACCTATCACATTATATCTTTTTGCTCACATAGTATATACAATAGTGGAGACCTTTGATACAAGTATATACTTTCTAGTGAATATTCCAGTTTTGACCACTAATTAGACACTATTAAATCTAGAAATCAGATAGCCAAGTGAAACATAACTCTTTAAGAATTTATATAAATGCAATATTTGCAAGACATTATCTATAGATCAATCCTTATTCTTTTAATAGATACTTCAGATTTGAACTAATTAACATAAGCTGTCAAATTTAAAAGTGTAAATATCAAGTAGAATGCAATTTCTATATACTTTGTCTTATCATATAGTAACTATATCTTTATATAAGAAGAATTAATTCAATGCTTACTTTAAGACTTTTTATTTAGGCAACTAACAAATTAAAGAAATAGCAATTGGAATTGATTAAAATGAAATATAACCTAATTTATACATTTAAATATGATATTGTTTATGTTGTATAGCAGATTATAAAATTTAATCAGAATTAGATCAGAAGTCTTTCTTTATGCAATCTTTTCTTTTTTTATGATTTATTGTAATCTTAAAATTATAGAAAAGATTTTTTTATAATTAATAATTTTTTTTTTTTTTTGAAGGAACAGGCGGTCCTTACACACTATTTTTATTTATAATTTTAGACTTGCGAATTACAAGATTT